ACCGTTAACCTAGCACTGCCAAGTCCACTACTAGACCATGTCCCTAAGCACCACATCTACACATCTTTTAAATACCTCCAGGGATGGTGACTCCACCACTTCCCATGCCATATTTGTTTTCATATTAAAAAGCTAGGCCCAAAAAATGTTCCCCTAAAAACTAAACAAAACAAAACAGAAAACTGATTAAGATTTCTTTTTTCTCCATTAGTTTTAATAATCTATTTTTGGTGAGCAATACAGGCAGGCTTTTTTGTGCGATTAAATTCTGCCTCTTTTATTTGATAAGAAAGAGTTGAAACATACAGGTGCAAATTGAATTTTAATCCTGATACAAGAGGAAAGAAACCACATTCTACTTGCTGAAAAGTAGAGCACGTACAAATACTGAGGAATTTAATTGGGTTCCTTAGAAAAAGTAAATGTGAAATGATTGTAGCAACATCATCATCAGCATGTGTTTAGATAGTGGTTTTCCTGTTTTACAACCACATGCAAGCTTCTGTCATAGACTTCAGTATTATTGAACATATAAAAATATTTTTTCTGTTATTTTGAATGTACAGGGATGATGACCACCTACTCTACATTTGGTCATTTTCTGTGGCAGAATTATTCTTCTCTTGTATATGCTTTATCTACTCATATGTAAAAGACAATGTGCAATACATGACCCTAACTCCAATTTGAATTGTAAATAATTTAAAAAAATAGAATAATTTTATATTGGCTATGTTTGCACACACACACACACACACACGGAGAAAAGGCACTATTTGGCAATTTGACTTTCTCTAAGTCAGATATTTTAAAAATGAGATCTGTATTTTAAAAACATAATTTGAAAATCACATGCCAAAAAGTATGCATATAGATGGCTGAGCTTTTGTGTGCAGAAATGTGAAAAAAGGAGTGGATGCAACTGTTAAACAACTGAAAATGATAAATAATCTGACAGTTTACTTTAGACACTAATGGAGCCTAAAAGCTTTTAAAATGACAGAAATTTCACCAACTCTAGTGATTCATAGGCTTATTTTTGTTATACAGGTTGGTCATATAACTGGCAGTTTTTCTTTTGTGTGACTCTGGTAAATTATTGTACACTGTTATCTGAGTGAAAATCTATTAGAGTTGTGTGAAGGAATACGACAACATCACTTCAGAAAATTAAAGCAATTCCCAGCTGTACATGTATGCAATTTCTCCACACTTGCTTTTTTTACATTTTTTGTTGTTGTTGTGGACGTAACCCTTGAAGAAAATGTGCTACTGTTGGGATGCGCTTTAAAACTGTATTTTATTCTGTGTGAAACGTGCTTTTGCACAATTGTCTTTTTTCATGGAACGGTGATTTCCGTTTACTGCATCCTGCTTTATACTTACTAAAACGTAACATGTTTGGTGCGTAGTATGACATCGAGCATATTTTTTATTACATTGCGCTTTCTAAAATAACACAGATTGTAGAATACCCTTTAGTCACTTAGTGTCAAGTCTAATGAAATTCCTATTTAGCCTCAACTGTTTTCCTTTCAAATGTTTTGACAGTAGTCATCCCTGTTAAGTGCTTTCCCTAGGAGGCTCCGGTGGCTGGGAGGTAACCCGATCGGGGTTTTGTTTCAGTGTGTTGTCTGCTGACCTGGAGAACACTTGCATTAGCTGCATTGATCAATCCACATCACATCTCATCATTTAGGAGACAATTAATACTGCGGCGTAAAGACTCCCCAGAGCATTTTCTTCGAGCTGGATTGCTTTACACAGAAACCACAGGAGTTGTTTGCAAAAGGGGGAGGAAGCCAAGTAAGGGAGCGGAAAAAAAAATAAAAAAATAAAAAAAACATTAAGAAAGCTTCTTCTAGGAATGAAGTTTCATCTTCTGTCATTTCAAACTGCCTTTTTTGAAGGGTTTTGGGAAAAAAAAGAACTACCTGTGTTTTGAAGTTGGAAAGACAGTGTAACAGATCACATAAATGTTCTAAAAAACTTGCTCTTGAGAAATAAGCATTTGATGGTGATACTTGTCTAACTTGCTGTTAAGAGTGTAGTCATTTTAACTTTATCTCAAGGATTATTAACCTGACAGCTTTTGAAAACTGGTTGGCATATTTTAATCCTAATTTTATTTATTTTAAAGTTATTTAAAAAAACCCCAAACATTTTAATAGAGGGGAAAAAAATGTTTGTTTCTCATTCTTGTCAGTTTTGCTGTAGAGCTTCTTCCACAAAGTTGACTTTCAGTATTGCCTGATACTGTTTCCTAGGAAAAAAGTCTTTGAAAGATTTCAAGTGTACATGAATACGTTAAGTTAATGAGCAGGCAGGGTTCTTAGTGTGCTGTTTCATCTTTAGATCATGAAATATTTAATCTTTAGAGATCATCCACAGAAGCAGACGAGAAACATTTACTAATAAAACCCATTTTTTTTCTTGCAGATGACGGGTTACTATACTAGCCTCTGTTAAAGACTATGTTGCAGTGTTGTAAGGAGTGTACCTTAAGATTAGTTGATAACATAAAAGACATAAAATTGATAGGAAGGGAATTTTAGGGAGGAGGTTACTTACCTTGCTGGTACATCTCACTAATCTATGTATTGCCTGTCATTCTGGACAGATTGTACAGTGGTAATGAGGCCAACTAACATGTTGTGAACTTCAGAAATCATTGCAAACTTATTAGTATTTACCACATCATTACATTGTAATTTTCAGTTGTTTAGGTAGAGTGAGTGAATTTTTCATCAGAAAAGATTCATGTGTGATCATGTTAATAGTAATTAATAGGAATATGTCAATGACAAAAATGATGTTTACTTTTGTGGTACTTCCATGGCTTAAATTTGTTATTTTGCTTCTCTCCCCTGTAACCTTGAAGAAAAACACGCACTGGCATTGAATAGAGATATGTATCTGGCACATTTTGCATGGCAGTATTATTATGTTTTCAGGAATACGCTAATATGATAATTCATGTTACGATTTTCTTCTGTTAGTAGAATTGTTCTACTGGTATTTGAAGGTAAAAAAATCGTGATAAAAATCATTAATTTGAGTATGTTGGAAATGTACAGCGTGTGTGTGGAAGTATGTACTACATGAAATATCAAAGCAATTTTACTTAGACATCTAGGTTGTCTTCTTTTGGTATTTCTGCAGAACAAAAGTGGAAACTACAGTAGTCCCTCTTAGTTTCACTTTTCCAACTCCTGCTAGACCCTGTTTTTCAAGTCAAAACTGATTTTGTGGAACCTATTTAAGTGGTTTGATATGTGGAACGCAGAATGTGGATTGTTTCAGTGCAGAGTCATACTTGTATTTTTAGGATTGATACTGTTTTTTTTATATTCTTTGTCTAGTGAAGATATATCAAGCTGTAACTCAATATGTAAAGAAAATCTTTTTTGCTATACAATAAAGCCATACAAAATCATCTAAACCCACCTTACTCAAAAAATACACGAAGTATTTTTCCACAATTCTGCATCAATATTTGGCCATCCTGTAGATACTTTTAATTAAGAAATCAAAGAAATAAGGACTGGTGTGGTTTTTGTCACACAAACAGTACAGTTTGAGTTTAGAAAAGGGTTACGTGGCAATGTAGGCTTTGTCTAAGCCTTTCTAGAGAAACAGAACTAAAGCTATGGTAGGTATTTATTTTTTTTTGGTAATCAGCATACAACTGCAAATTCTATGAGGTAATATACAAAAGACGAGATAAACGTGGCACATCAGACTGTCTTTCCCCAGGCTACAGGGATAGGCAAGGCATTTTAAGGGTCAATGACATTAAAGGTGAGAGTAAGTAATGGTGATATAAGGGACAGGGAGTGTACAAGAAAAAGAATGTGCTTCAGACTGGAGACTTGAGTTAAGGAGGAAATGATACAGAGCAGAATAGAAGGGTTAGAACTGAAAACCAGGCAAAACCGAAATGATGAGAAACAGAGGGTTACACTTTGCTGCAGAGTTTGGGAAGGAGGAATATGTCCAAGGCCCGTTATTCCTAAACATCTGTCCTATCTTTACGAATGAGCACAGTGGGAGTGTCCCATCCTCTGCTTCGTTGCCACCAAAGGCCTAGTATTCTTACGCATAGAATAAATATGTATTTCACCTTTCAGACCTATTTGACAAGTGTATAGTATTTTCCCACGACCTTAGAACGTGGATACTTAGAAGGTAGTCACGTGGAGTCTAGATATCCTGCGCGAACAGTATTCAGCACAACTCTAAACAGAAGTTCTTGAAATGTAATTTGCAGGGTATTGACTACTTATCTGGTACAAGCTTTCATAATTTCTAACTGCTAAATCACATTAAAGACAGCTTAAACTCCATGCATTCGGGAAATAATTGCAGTTTTTACAGGTATGTTTTAAGGTAGGAAGGTTATAAAAGACAAAGTGGATATTCAAATATATGAGATCGGTTGGCCTTGAAAGGTCTTGCCATAACAATTTGCAGCTGTTTTAAGAAAAGATCTAACAATGTCTACGCTAAATGAATGTATTCACAGTTCAGGTGTTCATTACAGAAGCTTATTCCAAGTGCCTCTGTAATACTGGCTATTAAGTTCAACCCTGTGTTACCTAAAAGTTGTACAATATTTTAGAATAATCTAGAACAAGCCCAAAATAATTTAAAAGACATGTATTCTGCGCACACTTATCATATTTACTAATATTTCCAACAAAACCTAATGCTTTTGTTCTCTTTTTTTTTTTTTTTTTTCCCTTCTGACTGACATTATCCAGATTGGCTTGGAAAGTTAAGTGTTTGTAGGAGCTACACAAACAGGAGTTATTTAAAACATCTTCAGATCATTAGTGTGTTTTCTTTTGCAAACTCTGCTTTCATTTGTGTGTTTATGGAGATATTGGTAGTTGGTTTTGCAAGGTTGCTATTGAGTGCCACCTTTATGCCATAATTGATGCAGTTTGTGGGATCTTGAAGAATCCACTTTATTCAGACCAACTTTTTGGTGTTTGCAGGTACTACAGAGCGGGTGTGTCTGATCCAGGGAACAGTTGAAGCACTAAATGCAGTTCATGGCTTCATTGCAGAGAAGATTCGAGAAATGCCTCAAAATGTGGCCAAGACAGAGCCTGTCAGCATTCTACAGCCTCAGACCACTGTTAATCCAGACCGCATCAAACAAGTGAGTTTTTGGTTGGGAATAGAGAGTCACAGCAGCTCCTTAGAAGTCTTAAACCTTTAAGGCTGCAAGGGGTCAACATAACATGTGCTTTAAGGAAATGTTATTTTACCCTTTAGTAATTCGCTGGTCCTCTTTTTCCTTGTGCTTAGGTGATCCATGTTTCTCAGCAGTTCTTTTAGACAGGGTTTTATAAATTTCAATGCCACACTCCAATGTGTTTCTTTCATAAACTTTTCTTTACTGTGTAAGGTGATAATACACTTCTAGGTTTTAGTTAGATCACTGAATTTTAATCTTAAATGATGAACCTCTTTGTAAATCTTTAGCGTTTCCAAAAATCACAGATTAACTGAATGTTTCATACTTTTATGTACATAAAATAAAACCAAAAATGTTAATTGTTCTTTTAGACCCTATATTTAGATACTTTAAAATCTTACCTGTAAGAACTTGAAAATATAAAGATAATTTGTTCAGATGTTTTCTACAATTTCATTTTATGTTATTTTTGGCATCTTTTTTCCCTGTTTTACACTGACTTCTTTCAAAATCTATGGGCAATGCAAAATATATTTTCAAGGTATTGTTAGTCTAGTATTCTTTAGTTCATTACATTTTCTCATATAATTTTAATTTTTAATAAAATTGCCCTCTGAGGCAATGTGAAGTATGTGTCGTAAAGGATTTAAAATTATTTTCCATTGTAATGAATATGAAAAAGACGAAGAAAGAAATGAGTGAACACTAGTAAAATTTTGTCTTGTCTCTCTACATCCTATATAGGATAGATTTTAGTTTCTCACCTGTCCTATATGGGAAAAGGTTGTTTCGTCCTTCTACACTAGGAAGATTCAGTATCCTATAAAGTAATTTGGTAACTGTATGCAATTACTTTACTTTGTGTATAGTGACATACACAGAATGCTTATATGAAGATGTGTTTGACCAGGATGAGTTTGGAATGATCAGACTGCTTTAGATGGATGAAACTGTGCATAAGCCATTGTGTATGATTTCTAATATTTACTACTATATTTTTTTCTGTATATGTGATACTTTTACATTAAAAATACTCTACATAATTTATAAGAAAATATGAAAAAGAAAAGCCCCAATTATATAGGATTAGTTTCTCGATTATTAGACATGAAAATGATTATGCCTGAGAGAGAGAAAAAGCTGAAAAGATCTGTATTTTGAATGGCTTTTCTGCTTGTAAAATGTTAGATCTTATGTTAGTACTTCTTAACCCAATGGGAAATGAGTGTTCTCTATTAAAATGAAAAGTGGTTTTCCCCTTTGCAATGAAATGAAGCTAATTTTTAGGTAAGTCAGTAAAATCTTGAGAAACTAGATTCCAGAGCTGTTTAGTGACATGCCTAAATACTTCCTGTCTTGTATCTGAAGTTGCTATAGCTTGTCCACAATACTTCTCCAGAAAATTTATTTGTAACGTAGTTGAGGTTTGCTTTTCTTTTAATTTGGTTGTGGGGTATTTTTTTTTGTTTGTTTGATTGATTTGTTTTTTTGTTTTTTTGGTGGGGTCTTTTGTTTGTTTTGGTTTTGGTTTTGGTCGATTGGTTGGTTTGGGCTTTGTTTGATTTTTTTAAACACAATTCCGCGTTTGTAATGTTAAATTAAATTCTGGAGGGATGGATTAGTGAACAGAGCTGCTGCCAGTGAAGTTAAGACACAGACTTAATACACCGTATAACTTCTAAGACTGTTATTTAGCTCTATATCTTAAAATTTTAATGTATTACCTGTATACATACAGGTGCATCATAATATGACTGCGAGTATTTGGAAATACACATGCGCATATGTTGAGGAGTTTTAACCACAATGAGTTGTTTAACTTCTCTTTTAATGAAGCAACATCTATTAATGATAAATTCATACACTATAAATACCGACTCAATAAATCTAAAATCCAGAAGTGAAATTGTTAGCTTAGTTCTTAGACAGAATTTGCAGTGAAGTAATGCTATCCTCCAATGTCAGAGTATCCTGTATCTTAATGAAAGATATAATACCTCTATTTAAGAAATTAAAAGGATAATACTTTAAAACAGGTAATTGTGATCTAGAAGTCCAGTGTTGCTATTTTAATAGCAGAGACATCACAATTTTATTAAAATTATTAGGATAATGTATACAAGTCATTTTGCACTTGGCAAAAAATAAGCCTTATGAATTACAATTTATTCTTTTATGCCAACTTTTAGATGGTTCTTCCTGTCTTAGAGTGTTACCCAAGAACTTTGGCACCCAAAATATTATGTTGCAGATTGAAGAAAGTAGACTTAGCATTTGAGATCGAGAGTTGATTTGAAGTAACAAATTTTACTTTCATTAGGAACTTTGAAGGTATTTCTATTGGTTTTCTAGCTGCTTTTATCAAAAAGAAAAGGTAGTTTTCTCCCCATGAATGAAGATACCTGTAGTTGAAGCCTATATGACCATGCAGCTCTCATTTCTCTGTTGTCATTGCTTTGTCCTGGGCTGCTTTCCTGACACTCACCTCAGAGAAATGAGCTAAGAAAGGAAATATCTTCTGGCTACAGTTTCAATGAAGAAAGACAATAGGTAAACTCTTTGCTAACTGCTTGAGTTTCAGCATTTTCTGCCTTCAGGAAAGGCATGAGTGTACATGGAGGCTGAATCTGGCCTGGTGTTTCTCCTTACTGATGGAAGTTGCTATCCAAACATTCTGGTCTCTCTAGCCTCAGCTTTTCCAGCTTCAGAAGATTTGCAAACACATCTGTTTGGTTCCCTTTGAGCCTTCTCCACTGCATAAGTCCACATCTCCTAATCCTATGGATTTATTAGTAGATACTAGGTAGTTATCTTCTCCAAGCAGGTCAGATAGATTCTTAATTGACAAATGTTTACATCTTTTATCTCTAAGTAACATAGGCAATCTATTCATAGATGTCAACCATCTGCTGTTTCTGGGCATCATTTGGCAATAACCAACTGATTCCTCTGCCCTTTTACTTCCTAGAAACTGCTACGAGCATCTAACCTCCCTTTTCTCTCTTTATTAGTTGAAGTGTCACAGCAACTCTTTCAGACCATATTGAAGCCCAGGGGAAGAGAATACAATTTTCGTAAAGTGATCAAGAGCCTGAGCTGTTTCAGCTTTGTAATTAGCATACAAATCTTCAAAGTTCACATCTAAATTCGTAGCAGTTCCTATGAACAACGGAAAAGGCTGCATAATGTGGTCTTATCGTATCACCAGCTTCAGAAACTATTGCAGCTTCTCAACATGCTAGTTGAATTTTTCTTCCAGCTTTCAGTTGTTTTACAGGTAGCAGGTGTTGTGGCAGCCTGTCCAGGAAGCACATGGAATCAGAGACAGCCGTTGCAGAACTGTGCATTATATAGGAAGAAAGATGTGTGATCTTACCAGTAACTCAGCTGTAAGCAGGAGTTTACACTGTTTGGCATCCTGAGATCCCTTCCAACCCAAATCATTCTTTGATTCTATGAAATGTTTAGCTATCAAAGCACGGACAAGGGGTTTAGAATTTCTTCCTTGAAAAACTACAGTAAAACTTTCACATATAGAACTTCCAATTAATATTTTCATTGGAGCCAGTTCCATTTCAGCTTTTTCAGTAGTGAATTAACCTTTTATGAGTCTCTAACTTCTGTTTGTTAATCATGGTCCCAGACATTGTATTAAAAATCTGCAAAATTGAATGTCTGAATATGATTTGTAAATTCACATTCTTCTAGTGAAAATGACTACTTTTACTTCAGAAATGCTGATCAACAGGAACAAAGGAAATGTTCATAGTTTTTAAATAGAAAAATTTACTTTGAAGCACTTGAATAGAACTTAACTTTAAGAATACAGGTCTGAAAATACTGGCGTAACTGGAGGAATCTTTTTTTTTTTTTTTTTTTCAAATGGGATATGAGTTCTTCAGATTTGGTGGATTTCATAGAATCATAAGATAGTTTGGGTTGGAAGGGACCTTAAAATCATCTAGTTCCACCCCCCTGCCACTGGGGGATACCTTCCACTAGACCAGATTGCTCAAAACCTCATCCAACCTGGCCTTGAACACGTCCAGGGATGGGGCATCCACAACCTCTCTGGGCAGCCTGTTCCAGTGCCTCACCACCCTCACAGTAAAGAATTTCTCCCTAACAGCTAAACTAAATCTACCCTCTTTCAGTTTGAAGCCATGACCCCTCGTCCTATCACTAGACTCCCTGATAAAGAGTCCCTTCCCATCTTTCCTGTAGGCCCCCTTTAAATACTTGAAGGCAGCTATAAGGTCTCCCTGGAGCCTTCTCTTCTCCAGGCTGAACAACCCCAACTCCCTCAACCTGTCTTCATAGGAGAGGTGCTCCAGCTCTCTGATCATCTTCGTCTCTGTCCTCTGGACTCGCTCCAACAGGTTCATGTTCTTCTTTTGTTGGGTGCTGTATTCCAGGTGGGGTCTCATGAGAACAGAGGAGGAGAATCACCTCTTGACCTCCTAGACACATTTCTTTTGATGCAGCACGGGATATGGTTGGCTTTCTGGGTTGTGAGCACACATTGCTGGCTTCCAAGTCCTTTCTTCCTTAAGAAACCTTCATTGGTTTCTTAAGATGCCTCTCCCTTCTGATGAGCCTTTCTTCTCATCATCCATTTAAGGCAACAGTCTAGATGAACCTTACTAAACTCCAGAATATGAAAAAATAATTCTACATTTTTGTGGTAAATAATAAGTAGCTTTGTAGATCACTGTGTCTCTTCATCTAGTCAACAATTTCTCATAAACTTTTCTCACTTTTGAACATAGACGAAGAATTGCACCAGTGACTATTCTGCAATGAATAATAAGATTTGCAGGTGCATTTAAATGTTGTGAGGACAAAAAAGACAAAAAAAAAAAAAAAAAGCCATTATTTACTAAAGAGACAGTTCTATACATTAGATTCCATAGCAAAAGTTTAGTGTTCCATAAAAATATGTATACTATATCCTGTCCCTC